TAGTAGAAATAAATAAAATGAATATTTTAACGATTACCAATAAAAGCCGTTGTGTCACGATAGTCGTGAGGAGTACATTCATGTAGTTCATTAGGATATCGCGATAATATATTGACATAAATTGCAAAATGTTTTCTGCGGAGTGCATATAATGATAAATTTTATAATAATGACAAAACATGGATTATACACCAGTATTTTCAGCCTTATTCATTATGATTTCTATTGCGTTCATGGCTATATCTTCTTAAGTACAATGATAGTTTTTTATGAACATAAGCTTATTGACATTGATATTTCTTGTATATTTATGCTGCCCATAAGCCGGAGGCCTCTATGAATTTTTAATTGGTAGTAGCTTTGTATAACTATTTACAAGTAAAGTTCTCGAGCTCATCAATATTCCACAAGGAAAAAAAAATAATCTTTCGAAATGATTTTTGTACGAATAATTAATGATAATAAAATTAAACATCTATAGAGATATTCTAATTATATACGGCCATAAAAAAATATCTAATAATGATCTTCGTCTGTAATTGAATTATTCACACGCTCATATGAGTTTTTTCTTTTATTATGTTTAATTTGCAAAACTTTGGAACAGTATTAGGGAACACCACGTCGGGGACCCTTTCAGCCTTGGTGGAATAAATATCTTTTAACGCATTTTTGAGAGGAAAAACTTTTTATGGTTCAGATGAAGTGGGTGGAATCTAGAGCATTTTTTTTTGGTTTATTCACCAGTTTTGTAGTGATCGTTAGGGGCGGACATAAGCTCAGCCGATTATTCAGTTCAAAGAATAATAATGCACATATATATATATATACATATATACGTTTTTNGTGGAATCTAGAGCATTTTTTTTTTTTGGTTTATTCACCAGTTTTGTAGTGATCGTTTGGGGCGGACATAAGCTCAGCCGATTATTCAGTTCAAAGAATAATAATGCACAAATATATATATATACGTTTTTCGTCGCCGCGTGAGATCACCACAAAAATAATTTATTGAAGATGCTACTCTAGAAAATGTTAACGCTCATTGAAAATATAAACACAATAACTCTTTTTGTAGTTTCGGGTAAATTTGGAAAAAAAAAATAATAATAATAAAACAGCAGAAATCCCATTCATTGGAACATTGAACTTCCTGCACAAACGACTAACGAACAATCTGCTTATAGTTTCAACGTTGTTTCGATATTCCAGTCTAAAACGCTGTGGACATATAAATAAATAGACAGGGAGAAGGTCGAAACAGTGACATCACTATTGGCCATGTCGTTTGCACGATAATTTATCGAACATGACACCGACGGAAACCGTGTGTGACCTTTTCGAGCAAATTCGAAGGATGCGCGTGACAAGGCGATACCGGTGAAAGAGCACACTATCCAAAAGCAGCACTAAGTAAAGTTTATATTTCGTCGGCAGTCGTCCGGTATGATTTGCTTGTATGTAACGGTTAAATTAAATTATACTCAAGTAGCTGAATCAACAAAAGGCTTGACCTGCATTATGGTTTAAGGAGGATAATTTATAGGATAGATATCAAAGTCATCGCACAAATTACTCGAAATCTTCTCTTTAAAAACATAATAAAGTGATCAGAGGTAAAAGTGCGCGAGTTTTTATATCGCGTAGTAAATAATAGTTATGAACAATTTTTGTTTTTTTAAGCTATACAAACTATTAAATATACAAATTAAAACACTTTTAGAACTATGTTAGATTTTTACCTTAAATAAAAAATTTTTCATTAAATTACGCGACGAAAGTTGTGTGTGAAAATAAAATTATGTCATTACTTAATATTAATTAGTAAACTATTAAACATATAACGAAACAAAATTTAAGTCTTATTAAATTGTTTTATAAACTGAAATAGTATTTTTTAAGAGTGAATTGTACAATGAAGATTTGACAAATTTATAAAATGTTCATAATGTATATAATTTTATCTCTATGATTTTATAACCACTAAAAACACGTAAAAATTGATTTAAGATTTCATATTTATCAATCATTGATTCATGACTACAAAATTCAATTAATTATTTCAATATCGGACTTAGTTCCTTGTGGGTATTGAGTATCCCAATTTACTCTATCGGCCTTATTATGTAATAATGGAAAATTAATACATGTACTCATCAAATTTTTAAAACTAAAATATATTGTAAATTTATTAAATCTCTTATTATTAAATGTTGTCGAGTAAATTCATTTTCAGAATCATAGTAGTAATATAGATCTGCTTACTGTATAACAAGTAAAATAAACATTTGTTTATTAGTCTATCATAAAATCACGTTATTTATATATTTTTAAAGTGCATATGCTAAATACATTTGAATCAATAAAAATTGAAAATCAAAAACAAATGATCACATTGAAATTCTATTTTATGAAACAATAGTGTAATGATTCAAAGGTTTAATTCAAAGGCTTTCATAATATAGTAACTGTTTATTCTGTTTTGCAACAGACAACCATACAGTATAATACAGTCGACCAATTATACAATGCGCAATTACAGTTCAAAGGATAACCGAATTCACTAACTTGGGTGTATTTACAGAACAATTATGCATCGGTTCTGTTCGATAAGATGTGCGAAACATTAAGAACTTTCCCAGGCGTATAATACGAAACTTTTGTTTAACGCAAACTATTATTTAGGAATCTCTGAAAGAATAACTTTTTTTTTATTACATTAAAATCTGTTATAGTTTCGACAAAAAGATTTATTACAATATATAAAATAAATTGTTAGCAATAAAAGTTTTTCACAAATGAACACAACTTTAAATAAATCATCATTTGACAACAAAACTTATGAAAATTAACTCCGAGGACAAAAACAATCTATTAAATATGCTCTCACAGCGTACTAATAAATTTCAATATTTTAAATCAAAAATTTTTTTTTATAAAATATATTTATTATAATATATGAATATTATACAATAGAGTCAAAAGTATTACTACATAGTGACTTTTCGCGAGCAAAAAATATTTTTCACAAATCGTAAATCAAATTGAAGTATAAGAAGTATTGCGGCGTTAACAGCATAAAGCCGTCTTTGCTCTTTCAATTTCTCAACCATTCAAACAACAAAAATAATACCATCAATAAAAAAGATACGTCACAAACATATTATTTAATATAAAGAAAATAATTTTCNTTTAACATAAAGAAAATAATTTTCAAAAAAACGAAACACCAAGAAATACTGTTTTTTAATAAAATATATTTTTTGAATTTATTGTCTAATTTTATGATAAATATTATTATACAGTGAGTCAAGTAAATATTCGAACATCGTCTAAAAAATTAATTTGCCTTTTGAATCGTCTTACAGACCTTTAAGTACGATCAAAACCACAAGAAAAATGTTTTAACGAGTGATTGAACCATACTCAAGTAAGACGATGGCAATTCAACAGTAAAATTATTTTTTCTAAACAATATCCGAATGTTTAATGACTTTAACTGTGCGTTCAAACACTTTGTAAACGTTTAATAGCGATGAAAAATTCCCATTAGATACTAATTAAAACTGCAGTAAAAAAAAAAAAATCGAACCTCATTACTTTACCAGTTGTCGTTTTAATAAACACCATTCTAACAAGAAAAATTGAAACTCCAAATGACTTTTTCGTTGCTGCATTTGCCAAAAGGAAAAAATTAAGAAACAGTACATGAATAATATTACTTCCACGTCAGTTCTATTGCATTTCTTACTAAATAGATATAGAATTATTCCTCGGCCATTTAAGAAGCTATTTATTTTGTGCGGCGCACCGTGAATGTTTTATACGCGTGTCGACCGTACTATTCATTAGGTAAAAACGACATTTCTGTTAATATATTGAGATACGTAAAAACCGAGTTCCAACGGCGTTATTAAGTTTTACGCCGAGCGTGGATAGACTCGTGTAGAAGCGGCGAATCCTCAGAGTTAACTTGAAACCGAAAGTTTTTGACATTTCCCAGGGGACATGTGCCAGTATAGCGGCGTAAGGACTTTCTAAAAATGGTTTAAAGTGATTTTCTACTAGAGCCCCAAAATTCGTGAGATACCTTAAGGAATGTGTTGTGTATATTATGTGCACAACGACTACACAGCACTTTCAACGGCTCATCTCTTACAGTACGCTTACCGGCTGGGTTGGATTAAGATTAAGATGAACTTTGCACGCCGGGGTAAACACATATAAGCCGTAAGTCTAATATATACCCAATTGATAACTCCAAGCTTCAACACAACCCTTGTCGTTTAACACGGTTTGAAAACAGCTTAAAGTATTGTTTACGGCCAACAAACTGTTTTCGAAAACAGTGGAAGTGACTTAATGCGGCCGTCTAACACGTATCCAACCCACCGTCAACAAATGCTGCCATTGGGTACTTATCTTCATTCGTCATTTGGATTTTTCTGGATTAGACCGGTGGATATCACGTTAAAACAAAGTATGCGCTTTCGGCAGTCAAACGAGGTGGACAACCACATAATGATAACAATGCCGAAAACTAAAATGGTTTTGTTGGGCTTGGTAGATTTAAGAAAATACTTAAATACTGCCGAACTTTACGCAGTTTTATTATATCCATATTCAAAGGACTCGGTTTGGCCTAGTTTTTATATCATGTATACACACTCCCTCATAAATCCTCGGGGTAAGAATGGAGAATTTTAACAAACGTTTACAACAAACGTGATTCTAATTTCCCCACGAAACGTACTTAACAGACAAAAACTTTTGTCACCGCCCACCGTCACGAAATTGTTTTCCGGAATGGTGCACTTTAAAAGGTACATTTTAGATGGTTTTCGGGAAAAATAATGGTTTTAATGAAAAAAAAAAAATAGTAGACTTTAATATAATAATAAATCAAATATAAAATAATGTTTTTAATTAATAAAATAACTTTGTTTCAATAGAGCCTAATGGGAATCAAGACAAATTTGAAACATGAAAATGTCACTTACCATTCATCTCGAAGATCTGGTAACTTTCTGTGCACTGATATGAGATCACTGACGTATTGGTTGAACGCGTTTTTCGTCCAGCCTTCGTCCACCAATTTCTTGACGTCGGCAGTGAGGTTAGTCGGTAAAATTACTGGACGTCCCATTTCACCGTACTGTTGCCGTTTTTCTATGCCGCCGTCAGGCTGGGGCAAAACTCCCTCGCCATTGAGAAGCAAACCTGACGCTCCAATGGCCGCGGCTGCCCGTTTCGACGATGTCCGTACGGGTTGCTGTTTAANACGATGTCCGTACCGGTTGCTGTTTAACGGCTATCAGTATGGGTAGTTTTTCTCGGTTTTCCACGCCACCCTCCATGGGAAATTCTTCGTCGAGTAGGCGGTTTTCGTCGGCAGCGTCGTCATCGCTCGAGGCCGCAGCGCGTTGGGCCAACGCCGAGGGCTGGTAAAGAGCTTCGACAGCCGACTCGTTAGACACCGGCGTGATTCGCCGATCTTCCATGAAAAGGAGCACAGTGATTGTTAGCCACACGGTGCAGCCGAGAACGAGTCCCTTGAGCAACTCCGATTTGCGGCGGTAGAGATACGACGCTACTTTCATGGTCGACGTGTCCCACTCAAACTAACCTGCAAACAGTAAATTTAAAAATGTTGTTATTATTAATACACAAATTATTACATGGCGACAATAGTTGAATAAAATCTAGTTGAAAAAAATCGATATTTAAGAATAATATTAGAGTATTGTTCGTGTGTCAAGTATTCATGACATACATAACACAACGGGATCCAATGCGGGCATACCTAAAAGCTATTACCATAAGTAATAATTCATTAAGTAGAATAAAATTCTACAATCAATAGTAAATTTCACAAAAAACAAAGAGTTTCTAAATTTATAGTAAATTTTTTTTAATCCATTTCATTTATGAAAAAAACTCGTATAATATTTCCTAAAACACTAATTGATCCAAAATTAATGCGATTACTTTGGTTGATCAATACCAATTGTTGATTATTAAAACTGAATCAATGTGGCAGTACTGCTGTTATCATCTAACCTAACATTTCAGCAAAATGCACGTTTTGTATTTAATTCATAAATAATAAAAAAGAGTTTATTATAAAATAAATAATGAAACATGGCTAATGAATTCTACGTGTATTACCCGTTGACTAAATAATAATTACAAATTAGTGTTTTCAATTGGTTTTTTTTTTTTTTTTAATCAACTATTATGGAATTTAATAAACCGTCGCCGCTTAAAATGACAGGTATCTTGCCACAAAACTTTAAGTTTTTTAAACAGCAAGTTGAAATATATATAACTGCCACGGAAACTGATGGCAAGCCAAAGCAAGTACAAGTAGCTCGCCTTTTGAACTTGATTGGTTCAGATGCATTAAAAGTGTATAACACTTTAGTGACTGATAAAAATATGGATACTGATGTACCCGGAATATTAAATAGATTAGAAAAATATTGTTCTCCTAGAACAAATGAAATAATGGCTCTCTATAAATTTTTTACTGCCAAACAAAATGATGACCAATTTGATATTGATACGATCACATTTGCATGTGCCCATATCTCTGCCCCCCATAACATCGTTGTACCGTTTAATAGACATATATATATATATAATTAACACAGTGACATACAGCAATACTAACAGGAGGGCGGACTGCACACATAAACACTTTTTGCAATTCACGGCCAATGTGCCATAATAAGATATCCCTATCGACAGTTGACATTTTACCATCTTCGCGATCACTACTTTTGCCTGATAATTAACTTAACTTCGCTACCCCGTATATTATAGTGTGTGTGTGTGTCGCCGTCAGCTCCCTGTTGGATTATATCATCTCTAGGTGTCCAGCAGGTTGTATTATCCATTTAATATTTCAATTGCTTAATAAATATTTATTTATATCGTTGTTAACCTAAAGTGTTATATATATATATTGTAGTGCGACCCTTGGTAGTTCCTCTAAGGGAATATAAATTAAATAGGAAACTTCAGTACCTAAGGTAGATATAGCCTAGCCAGCTATCCCCCGTTGGTCCCTTAGAATACTGTCGACGGGCATTTAGGCTAAACCCCTAAATAGCGACGTAACAATTGGTGGAGGCGCCTATCTCTCTGTTTTATTTTAAACTTTTAGTGAGGGATCCCCCCCTAAGTGTACTACAATTTTTATATACCGCTTTTCACGGTTAATTTATAAATTAAATATTTTTTATTTCTTATTGGCTCACTTTATTATAATAGTAACAATTGTATAGTTAGGTATAACTATAAATTAATTTTATACACGATTATATGCCTCTCTATAGTTATTATTTAAAACGCACCTTTAATAATCAAAACTTTTAGAATAAATACTTTTGTTAACATATTATGACCTTATTGAACAGCCATTACTTATAATTACAATTGGTACTAATAGAGCGAGCCAGCTAATATTTTTAAATAAATTATTTCTTTATAAAATTAATTCGACATGCACATTTAATATATACAAGTTAACTAAGTTGTTACAGCAGCAAAATCGTGGTCTTTTAAACAGCCGTTATTACGGCTACCCTTATTATAGGATAATTTATATAATATAATCGTCCCGCAACTAAGGCGCAAGTCAGCCTAAATCAAAATACCCTATTGTGTGTATTTCTTCTTTTTTTT